ACAGACACACACACACACACACACACTAACAGACTGAAGCATCCATCCCAGGGATCAACGCTAAGGATTTTTTCTTCTGGTCCGGTCGGGCCAGTGGTTCAAATGTTTACTTGCCCTGCCAATATTTTCACTGGGCCTGCCACAAAAAATAAAATAGTTGCCGTTGTCATTGTTTTTGATCTGTTATCTTGTATTCTAATAAATAAGCTTATATGACACCAATATTTTAGATACCAATTAAATTTTACAATTCTCTATTTCAATTTCGGTACCACAGCAAAAATCACTAGCCAAAAATAAACATAAATATAAAGTTTAAACATTATTAAAGACAAGTGGCCTGCCACAAAAAATAGAATAGTTGCTGTTGTCATTGTTTTTGATCTGTTATCTTGTATTCTAATAAATAAGCTTATATGACACCAATATTTTAGATACCAATTAAATTGTACAATTCTCTATTTCAATTTCGGTACCACAGCAAAAATCACTAGCCAAAAATAAACATAAATATAAAGTTTAAACATTATTAAAGACAAGTGACCGCCAATAAATAAGAACAAATGAACAAGTTACAAGTAATAGCACAATTAAATATAGGCATATAGCACAAAAATAGAAATTAAATTATGCTTTAGGTTTTTATGTTTGTAGATGTTCAGGTACAGAAATGGAAAAATTACATATAAAATAACATTTGCTTATTCTTCACTCTGTGTTGCACCTTGATTTTTCATAGCCATTTGAAATTAGAAGCAACCACTGCATTTTAATCATGAATTGAAAGAAAAGTGCAATGTTTGATTTATATTAGGCTGTATAATCTGAAGCAAAAACAGAATAACCTGACTTTAGCTTTGTGAAATTATGCTACATAAAACATCTGCATGAAACAGAAACAGCAGAAGCTCTGAATGAGACGCAGATTCACTCTCTGACCGCAGGCGGTGCTTATGGTACAGTAATACAGCGTTTCCTTGGTTACCGCTGAAAACACAGCAGCGCTTAGGGAAGGTGATACAGCGTTTCCTTGGTTACCGCTGAAAACACAGCAGCGCTTAGGGAAGGTGATACAGCGTTTCCTTGGTTACCGCTGAAAACACAGCAGCGCTTAGGGAAGGTGATACAGCGTTTCCTTGGTTACCGCTGAAAACACAGCAGCGCTTAGGGAAGGTGATACAGCGTTTCCTTGGTTACCGCTGAAAACACAGCAGCGCTTAGGGAAGGTGATACAGCGTTTCCTTGGTTACCGCTGAAAACACAGCAGCGCTTAGGGAAGGTGATACAGCGTTTCCTTGGTTACCGCTGAAAACACAGCAGCGCTTAGGGAAGGTGATACAGCGTTTCCTTGGTTACCGCTGAAAACACAGCAGCGCTTAGGGAAGGTGATACAGCGTTTCCTTGGTTACCGCTGAAAACACAGCAGCGCTTAGGGAAGGTGATACAGCGTTTCCTTGGTTACCGCTGAAAACACAGCAGCGCTTAGGGAAGGTGATACAGCGTTTCCTTGGTTACCGCTGAAAACACAGCAGCGCTTAGGGAAGGTGATACAGCGTTTCCTTGGTTACCGCTGAAAACACAGCAGCGCTTAGGGAAGGTGATACAGCGTTTCCTTGGTTACCGCTGAAAACACAGCAGCGCTTAGGGAAGGTGATACAGCGTTTCCTTGGTTACCGCTGAAAACACAGCAGCGCTTAGGGAAGGTGATACAGCGTTTCCTTGGTTACCGCTGAAAACACAGCAGCGCTTAGGGAAGGTGATACAGCGTTTCCTTGGTTACCGCTGAAAACACAGCAGCGCTTAGGGAAGGTGATACAGCGTTTCCTTGGTTACCGCTGAAAACACAGCAGCGCTTAGGGAAGGTGATACAGCGTTTCCTTGGTTACCGCTGAAAACACAGCAGCGCTTAGGGAAGGTGATACAGCGTTTCCTTGGTTACCGCTGAAAACACAGCAGCGCTTAGGGAAGGTGATACAGCGTTTCCTTGGTTACCGCTGAAAACACAGCAGCGCTTAGGGAAGGTGATACAGCGTTTCCTTGGTTACCGCTGAAAACACAGCAGCGCTTAGGGAAGGTGATACAGCGTTTCCTTGGTTACCGCTGAAAACACAGCAGCGCTTAGGGAAGGTGATACAGCGTTTCCTTGGTTACCGCTGAAAACACAGCAGCGCTTAGGGAAGGTGATACAGCGTTTCCTTGGTTACCGCTGAAAACACAGCAGCGCTTAGGGAAGGTGATACAGCGTTTCCTTGGTTACCGCTGAAAACACAGCAGCGCTTAGGGAAGGTGATACAGCGTTTCCTTGGTTACCGCTGAAAACACAGCAGCGCTTAGGGAAGGTGATACAGCGTTTCCTTGGTTACCGCTGAAAACACAGCAGCGCTTAGGGAAGGTGATACAGCGTTTCCTTGGTTACCGCTGAAAACACAGCAGCGCTTATGGAACAGTGATACAGCGTTTCCTTGGTTACCGCTGTAAACATGGCAGCGCTTATGGAACAGTGATACAGCGTTTCCATGGTTACCGCTGTAAACACAGCAGCGCTTGTGATACAGTGTTTCCTTGGTTACCGCTGTAAACACAGCAGCGCTTATAATACAGTAATACAGCATTTCCTTGGTTACCGCTGTGTAAACAGCAGCGCTTATGGAACAGTGATAAAGCGTTTCCTTGGTTACCGCTGTAAACACAGCAGTGCTTATGGTACAGTGATGCAGCGTTTCCTTGGTTACCGCTGTAAACACAGCAGCGCTTATGGAACAGTGATACAGCGTTTCCTTGGTTACCGCTGTAAACACAGCTGCGCTTATGGAACAGTAATACAGCGTTTCCTTGGTTACTGCTATACATATTTACACTAATTTAAATGCATCATACGGAGACAATGAAAAAAAAAATGCCATTTTTGAAAACAGTCAGTTCCATTCCCCTCAGAAACACATTCATGTAAAATTCGATGTTTGGATTTTCTTCCTATATTTTGCGCATCGTGAACCGTGATCTTGTTCTGCCTGCTACAGTATTTTCTCATCTTTGTGTCCTTCTTCAGACGCGGCTGTTCACACAGAACACCGCACTCGAGTACTGAAAGGAGTTATCTTTCGCGCCCAAATGCTTTTTAATCGCTTGAATTTTTAAATTAACAAGTCTCAAAAACACATGCAACTGATAAAATGTCGTGCAGTGGCCCGATCGGGCAAGTGACAAATCAGTCTACTGTCCCGAACGTCTTTCACGCTGGCCCCGGGCCATCGGCAGTCCTTATTGTCCAGCCCTGCATCCACACATCTGTGTGTGTGTGTGTGTGTGAATCTGTGTGTGTGTTTTAGGTTGTGATGTGATCAGTCTGGCGGAGTTGAGTGAGTGAGTGTGAGTGAGTGTGTGTGTGTGTGTGTGTGTGTGTGAGAGAGTGAGTGTGTGTGTTAATGTCTCTCTCTCTCTCTCTCTGTCTCAGGGCGTGACGTGATCGGTCTGGCGGAGACGGGTTCGGGGAAGACGGGAGCGTTTGCTCTTCCTATCCTGCAGTGTCTGCTGGCGTCTGCGCAGCGGCTGCACTCTCTCATCCTGACTCCCACGAGAGAGCTGGCCTTCCAGATCGCAGAGCATTTCGACGCGCTGGGCTCCAGCATCGGTGTCAAGACCGGTGACTATCACACACACAGACACTCACTCACACACACGCACTCACTCACTCACTCACTCACTCACACACTCACTCACTCACACACACACTCACTCACTCACTACAGACGTTATCC